CTGCTGTGGATCTGCCATGTTTCAGATGCCACACAACAGATAGTAATGTTAGACAAAGTGTGAACCACCTAATGCAGTTTAGAGATGCATAATCTAATCCATAATTTCCCCTAGTCTTCTTTACAGTTAACTTGCTGTTGCCTAAATTATGATTTGTATTTGGTAGGCTTCTGTTAATTTTTATGATTTTTACTTACAACTATTTGTATTGCAGAGATGGGGTAATGGAACACTAAACATTTGTACTTGAAAATGACAGCCTTACATGCTTATATCAGTCACAAATCTAGGATGTGCTGTCTTTGTATGTGAGCTTTGAAGAGATTTTCAAAAATACAAGCATCATGTTCCCCATTGAAGAGTGAAGAGTCTACTAGATAATAGATGCTTTCTCTCAGAGCTGGACATTGGATATTTCCTTCTCTCAAGAAATGGTGGTTCACATTATCATGGCCTTATGTGTGCTAAAATGGAATCTTATGTAACTTTCTCATTTAATTGTGGTCTATTTTTAGGTAGAATTGAAGGAATTGTATAAATCAATTAACATCTGAGTTGTAAAAGAAAAGTAGACAGTTGTGTTCTTGAAACATGTTTACCAAGGATATAATTAAGTATCCTTTTTAAATTGTGAAAATTGTTAAATATGCAAAAAAGGCAAGAATAGAACAATACACAGGTACTAACCTGGATTCATCACTTGTTAACATTTTGTCATTTAGGGGATGATTTTTGCCATCTCTGTCTCTCAGTCTTGACTGTTTAAGAATACTTGCATGTTGCAGACTTTCAACCCATAAATATTATTGCATGTATCTTCTAGGAATCCAGTCTCCTACATGATCATAAACCTGAGAAAGCTAACCTGATTTACAGACATACACATACATGTGCATGTGCATGCACATATCCAGAATCCAATCAAAATTTATTTTGATTATGATATCTGTTTAGTGTCATTTAATCCAGAACAATTCCCCCTCCATGGGTCACTTATAGCGTTTTTTAAATATTCAGGATATTTATCCACAGAATGTCCCATAGTCTGGATTTTTCTAATGTTTTCATCATTGCTAACTGTGGATAATCATTTCTATCAAAAATCCTGTAAAAGTGGTATTACACATTTCTTGTTGCATCTTATGAGATGAAGCATGTTGTCAAGACTTTCCCTTTATTAATGGTGTCATACTTGTTCACTTAGTCAAGGCAATGACCTTGAGTCTCTCTAAGGTCAAGGTAACATTTTCTTTGTATAATTAAAAAGGTATTCTGTAGAGTGATCTTTTGACATTACTCAATGGCCAAATTCCCAACAACCTATTTTTTTAACTTTTTTTTTTGGTACTGGGAATCAAACTGAGGATCTTGTGCTTGCCAGGCAGGCATGGTGCCACTAAGCTACCTCCCTGGCCCTCCCCCTACGACCTTTTATCCAGTGGTAAAATCATTCACTAATGATCCTTGCCTGAAACGGTGACTATCCTGGGGGCAGAAAATGGCAGTTTTCTGATTTTATCATTACTTTCACTTTTATAAGATGATACTCTCTTAAAAGAACTATAGAGGATTTTAAAATTTGTTTTGTATGCCGATGAAGTAAGGAACTCTCCATTGACTTAAGTATTTGGTTCAAGCAAAGTTTTAATTTAATGTTTATGAGATTTGTAGTTGCATCTCTGTAGGATCCCAGGAGGAAATTGGGTGTTATCAGTGAGAAAGCAGGGAGTGGATGGTTGCTTTCTTAATAGGGGAAAAAAGTGATAGTATAGAGACGAGGCTAGAATTAGTACTTTCTAGAATCTTCCTTTCCTAGTTCAAGAACCGCTAGCTACATATGGTTATTTAAATTTCAGTTAATTAAAACTAAATTTTAAAATGCAGTTCCTGAGTCATACTAGCTGCATTGCAAGTGCTCAGTGGCCACACATAGTTAATAGTTACCGTATTAGACAGTATAGATGCAAAAGAATCCTGCTGTTGTTGCCAGAAGTTCTACTAGGCAGTGCAGATCCAGAACTACTCTCAATTTTTTTCCCAGAACAAAATGGCAAACCTCATAGGTTTGGGATAAGATTAGGGTGGCCCTAATTTCATGATTTTTCCAAGTTATTGCAATGTTTTGGGCAGTGTTTAGAATTCTGGCCTGTCCAGGATGAACAGATGAGTTCCACCAATATCTTCAGGACTTGAGTGAAAACGGCCCAATACTCGTCTTTATAAGCAGAATTGTTAAACTGAATTTATTTTAATTCTTATTAAACAGATTTTCTTTTCTTAATAGAGAATAAAAAAATAGAGAAGGCCAAATTTCATTAAAGGCGAAAGGCAGCAGTATTTGACCTTTTTTTTCTTAATTATAGTACAGGATACACTTAATTCTTTTTCTCATCCATAGGCCTCTTATTTCATCTGGGCTGATAAGATCAAGTTATTTTATCTTTAATGACATTGAAGCCATGTACAAAAGTTATAACTTTTAAAATTCACACTACTGAATGGTTAGATTATTAGTGACAGGTCTAAACTGCCATATTTTTGGCCATCTTGCACATTATGTCCCACCCCCAGCAGCCTCTCTGTGGTTAGGCTGAGGGCAGCCATGCCACCTGGCTTACTGCTAGGCTGACAAAGAGACTCTGGAGTCACCAGCACTCTGTCCCTCTGAGTCTGTAGCAAGGAGCTCATCTTAAGTACATTAGTCTGACATGAAATGGCTTTGTACTGCTATATAATCCACCCAATGAGGCTTCATAGTGGGTTCTTATCTATTAACTGCACACATTCAGACACAAGCACCACATAGATGATTTTCTTTCTATAGAGTATATATTAAGAGACTGTAAAAACAGGTGGGGGTTAAAGATCAACAGCTATGAATGCAATGCAACCTCTCCTATAGCCCCTCTTTTTTTGTTACACACTTGCATGGATTGGGGCTCTGGCCTGACTTTTGTGGACAATCCTTGGGTTCCGCAAATGGATGATTTTCATGTCAAAGATCTCTGTGGAATTTGTAGCTCAAACAACCCTACATAATATCCAGTGGCCAGGAGAAATTTCTAGCCCTCAGAAATCCCTGCCTGGAAGTAGCTTCTAGAGTATATAAAGACCATCTAATTAAACCCAAAGGTCCCATCCAACCCCAGGTCCCTGGGGAGGAAATCTGGTGCTAGGCCCACTGCAGGCTTTAACCAAGTGTTCACAACAGTGCCTGGCAGAGTAGAGTCTCTGTAAATTCACCCTGTAGTTTTAAACTTTGCCTTCAGCACAATATGAGACATTTCTTTTTCTGTCCCCTTTCTCAGGGGCATGCATCTGAAGTGCTGTGCAAGCCTGGAATATGACAGGCTAGTGGCTGGCATTGAGAGATTGGGTACATCTGTGCTATCTCCTGCCTACTCCCATTTCCATGTAGTTTCTTTTCTTAAGAAAAATCCTGGGTATCACAGGAAAGAGAGAGGAAGAAGAGAAGAAAAGTAAGGGCAAGCATTGGGGACTTTGTTCCTTCATCGTCTGCCCATTGGAGTCAGTGCCCAGATAGCAGATAGCAAAGACACAAAGCCAAGTTGGTGCCTCTCTTTAAGTACAGATCCCACCTAATCTGCTGAAAGTCAGGTTCTTGGTTTGCCTTTTATGACCTCATCCATTCTTCATGATGCTTGACCTGAGAGCAAGTAATGGAAGATACTTGGATTTTCCTGGTGTCTTTGTTTTCTTCTCCCATTGCTCCATGTTGTCTACATCATCCATGTCACAGTTCTGTACCCCAGAATTAGAAAAGTTCTGGGATAGAAAATTAATGGATGCATAGAGCAACAGTTGGTATATGACCAAGACAGCAGCCTCATTGCTTTTCTGGAATTCATTATAAGTTCATCTTGTCACTTTGCCTTTTCTTTTCATCTTCAGTTGTTGCTCTCAAATGTGTGAATTTTCAGGTCATCTTTGATGTGGGAAGATGTGAGGGCATCAGGATTAAATCAAGTTAAAACTCCAGTTAATGATACTGCTAAAGAAATCATTACTCTGCTAGTTGTTAAAAGGACAAAGTAGACTATTTTCAGGATCATCCGTGGTGGTACAGGGGACTACTATGATAGGATTTTGCAGTACAAGAAAAAGATAGGGTTGAATGGATGAAGTTCCAAAGAGGAAACATCAGGGTAAAGGAAATTCTGTCTAAACTGGCCTACTAGGATTCTTGCTGGAAGGCAGAGTAGGGTGATCAGACATCAACTGGGGCACAGTGGGGGATGATGTCCTTCATTAGATATCAAGGGAGATATCAGATAAAGGTGAGGTTCTTGATAAACTGATTTAGCAGGTGTCTTTGCTAAAATTGAGTAATACAAAGTAATATGCAGAAGCCCAAAAGTCAGGGCCTAGTTGGGAAGAGGACTCAGAGGACCCTGGCTCAGGTTGGGACAAGGAGAGACTGCCACTATGCATACGGACATAGTGAAAGTGTACTGACGTCTGCTGCTTTATTGGAGTGCATGCAAAAAAGTAAGATCAGGAATGGAGAGGGAAGTGGATAGGTCATAAAGAAACTGTAGTAAAATTTTAATGGGAGGATCTTGTAGTGGTGGGCAAACAGGTGTTCCCTGTAAAGTCCTTTAACACTTTCCGCCATAATTGAAGAATTTCATAACTGAATATTAGGAACATCAGTGCAGAGTGGGGTGGCGACATTTTGATAAGGAGGACCACCTGGCACAGGAAAACAACTATACAGTTGGCAGCATGGGCTATGTTCAGAGGCTGTGCTGTTTCCAGAGGCCTTGCTTAAGACATAAACACATAGGACTTTTTATCCTCATTCTCTGGGATCTGATGTAGTATGTGACCTGACTTGTGCATGGCAACCTTTCTCTCTGTAGCTAACCACACTCCTTCTGCTTTGGGAAGATGGTTTCTGACTTCAACCCACATGACTACCATGGGCCAGACTAATTCTTGCTGTTCTTTTCCTTGTCTTCCTCCCTGGTGACTTTTAGAGTTGGTGTTGACCCAGATCAAGACCCACCGCCTAACAACGACAGCTTTCAAGTCTTACAAGGGGTAAGTCACAAGACATGTTTCTTCCCAGGGAAGATGAGATTAAAGGTAGCTCACATTTAGCGTGCATTTGCTATATGCCAGGTACTTTACCTGGACTCCATGGTTATCATCTTGACAATACCCTTTTGAGAAGAGTACTGTTATCTCCATTTTACAGATTAAAGCTGAAGGGTGAGGGTTTAAGTTTGTCATCTAAGGTCAGAGAATTAGAAAGTGATTTATTTTCTAAGTGAAACAGGCCAGGAGCAGCTGGATAGTCAAGAGAGATTTCATCTTGATCAGTTACAACGTCCCTAGTCCTTGTGCTGTCGCCAATTGCTGCTACCTCTGCACTCAGGCACCCATAGAAGGTCATAAGTGAAATGGTTTGGTTGGTTCCATGCCACTGAACTTACTGTTCTCATAAGATCTAGATACTGGAAATACCAGGCTTGAATTAGACTGAGTAGTACACTTGCTGTCACTTTTCCATGGGAAATACTTGAGAAACAGTATGTTTTAAGTGCTAAGGGTTCTGGCATTTAGTCCTTTTGGTGACATGTAAAATAATTCCCATCCTCAAGTGGGATGAGCCAACTTGATCGAGGCTGTTCAAGCAGCTCATGTGCCTGTTGGCTGCTGGAGGATCCTTTAAAGGCCAAGAACATTGCACATTTGGCACTAAGTAGACTGGCAGCAACTTCTATACTCCTGATGGCACCCTGTTTGCTAGTCTAGAGTGGTGCCATGGCTTCCTCTGGTCTCCTCCTTCCAAACCTCATATACTCTTGAACAGTAGCCCTCAAAATCATTTCTGCTAACCTTTTGAAGGCTGTTAGGATTGTTGTCAGGGTGGGAAAATAGGCGAACTTCAGGCCTAGTTCTTTAGGATACACTCTCAGAAATGCTCTTGTGCAGAAAGGCCTTTTTTATCTGTATCTTCCTGGCCTGACCTCGTTTCAGTGAGCCACTCAAGGCAAGGATGGGAGTGATCAATGATCATGAGAGACAGGAAAACAGAAATAAATGGGTGTCTCAATTTTTGGTGAAACCCTAGGTTCTTGCAGTTTCCCCTGAAATAGAGCCAGGCCATGTGCTCACTTTTGTTATGAAACTGAAAAAAGAGGTAGGGAAATTCCAGATGTTTGTCTTCAGTAGAAGAGGCAGTTCTCCTGACTTCATTTTCTAAATGATCTTCTTAAAAACAACAAAGACAGTGATATTTGACAGGAGAACATTTCTTGGCATAAGGGCAGTTTCCCTCTTATTCTGGAAGGTTGTAAACAGTGTCACAGCTACAAAGCTACAGCCTTAGCTCATGTGGGAGAAAGAAAGTAATGGTTGGCTGGAACTTTTGACTCTGTGTAAAGGAAGTACAAGAATATTGTGGGCAGACTTCAGCTTTGTGTCACTGGCAAGTTTGACTCATTAGTACAAAACAAGACTGAAAATGCAGTTGCTTTGTTTCTTTGGAGGTTTTAGTGACTTTGCAACCAAAACAAAAACAAGCCCAGCTGGAAATAAGCTGCCCAGACTGGGAGGTTGGCCTCTCACCCCATTCAAGGGAGAACATCTCATGCCAGACCAGACACAGCTGAGATTTCTGTTGGCCGGACATGTAGAAACATCATTCATTTCCTTCCTCAAGTTTCCAGAAGAGCATTCATTGATGAGGTCCCTTTGCAGCAGCTGAATGTGTGACTCTGGTGTGATCCTGGTTTTATCATATCAGCAGGAGCAGTGTACAAGCTGGATATTATGTGGAAAAAACAAAACCACAGTTTCTATGTGTGTACATATGTATGCATGTGTACATAAATAAATATGTGTGTGTATGTAGTGAGAACTGTGGAAAATCAGCTGTTTATAGTTGCATTGACATAGGACTTGGTGAGCAAGTTGTATTCATTTGTCTCTGGCTTCTCTGACATCAGATACCTGGTCACCTAAATCTTTTAACCTCAGTTGCCAAAAATGACTTTCCTCAAATTACTACTCTCCGAGGTCCCCTCCCCAAGCTTTTGCTTTTTGTCTTACAGTTGCATCTTTGGCACCTTGATTTTTCTTTCTACCATTTTTTGTTTTCTAGAACCCCTAAATAAACTAATTTACTTATCCATTTGACAAATATTTATTGAGCACCTGTTAAGTATGAGCCCTTTTAGGATATGGAAATAGGTCTGCAACAAGACAGGAATCTGTCCTGAAAAGCTTGGTGACGGTGCGATGAAGGTGGATAGAGAGTAGCACAAGTGACAGGGTGGAGGGCCTTATCTGCCCTGCCCCAGGGAGCACAGAACTTATCCTTGCTATTCTGAGTGTCCCTGTATCCCAGCATTTCAGGAGAGAACTTGCTAGAAATGTAAGCCATCAGGACTTAACCAGCCCCACTGAAACAGAATCTGCATTTTTTCAGTATCCCCTGGGTGTTTGGTACAGTGTACAGTTTGAGAAGCCCTGGGCCAGATAAGGTAGAACTGGGGAAGAAAACTGTCTTATTAAGCAAGGGAAGAAACTGTGTGTGCAGCACTGTGATGGACTTGATTCCTAGGTACAAAATATCTTGGTCCCATTACCCCGTGATATACAAAAAGGAGGATCACAAAGTCCAGCCTAAGCACCTTCATGGGATCTGTCTCTAAAAAACAAAGAGCTGGGAAATAGTTCAGTGCAAAGACCCTGGGTTCAATAACCAGTACCAGGGGGAAAGCCTAAATCAAATTACATCATTTATTTACTCTTTTGTTCTTTCTTAGTCTTCTGGGGCCATTGTTATAAATTTCCCCAAAATCTGTGGCTTAAATTACATGGTTTTATTATCTGGCAATTGGGTACATCAGAAGTCTGGTGGGCTCAGCTTGTTTCTCTGCTTCAAAGCCCAAATCGAAGTGTGAGCAGGGCTGGGCTCTGCATGGGAAACCTGAGCAGGCTCAGGTTGGTGAAATTCTATTCCCTGTAGTTGTAGAACTGAGGTCTAATGTCTTTTTCATCTGTTTGTGGAGCATGGGGTCAGGAGCATCATCCTCTGTGACCATATGTATAACAACTCACAGACTACAGTGTTGAGTGAGAAATGAATGGGTGGCCATCATACTTCCTATGACATGCTCTATTCCTGGGAAAATATAAGCTGTTCTCATTAATATAAGTTTAAAAAAATTAACATTATGAAAGAATGGAATAAAATATAACTATGGAGATACCAGTATTCTTTGATTCTAGAAAAATTATTTAAAAAATAATGCTATTTGCTATTCCTTGGTAGTTTAATCACCTTTCTTTTTCTTCATGACAAAGAATGTATAGATGAGGCCACTGAAGCACAGAAAGGTTAGGTATCTTGCCCAAAGTCACACAGCGAGGCAACAGCACAGGCAGGACCCCAGTAGTCTGTTGAGAGGGCCTGTGATGTTCACACCTACACCTCTTGGAGTTTCCCTTGCTTTTGAAACCTTTCTTATAGAAAGAAGCAAAGCTTGTGAACAGCTCTGAAAGAGGAACAGGAGTCAGCCAGGAAGGTGATGTAGGTATGGGAAGGTGAGGGGAAGAATGGCAGTTCCTGGCTCTGTGCTGAAGACATGGGGATTGAACCCATCAGTGGTATTGAGGAGAGACAGGGTGAGAGAGCAAGTCCCCACTTCTTCTGTGGGCAGTACAGGGGTGCCAGTCCTAGGGAAGGGAGCCACACCTGCCCCCACAGTGACCACTGCTCAGCCCAGCACTGATTGGAGCCCACAGGAAAGGCACTTGTGACTTCCCTGTGGGAAAGCAGTTGTTGGTCATCTTCCAGGTCAGCGTTAAAAATGGATTCTGTCCCACAGAACCGCCCTGATTTCTCCGAAGCCACCATGTGTGCATTCATCAAAGTTCTTCCTGTGCCTAATCATGTGCCAAGCACTATGTCTTAGAATAAGACCTTAACACCCTTTTTACAAAGCCCCCCCACCTTTTACTCTCCCTAGCTTTTCAGCGTTGTCTCAGACTGCTACATTTCACAATTTGCTGCTAAATTTGAGGTCACTTTATCTTACTTATGGATTATAGACCTTTCTCTTTGTAGCCCAGAAGCCCTTTTGTTAGTTTGTTGTCTGAAAGAAGCTCTTGTCTGATTTTATTCATTGTAATTATCCCTTTGGGGCCCTTAGAGAATTGTCCTGTAGCATCCTGCAGGTGAGAGGGCAAGAATTTAAGTATTTCAGGTAATACTAAATGCATTGTGGTTTTGAAGAGTAGGGCTAAGGGCAGAGTTCAGTGGTAGAGTGCATGCCTCACATGTGTGAGGCTCTGAGTTCAATTCCCAGTACTGCCCAAAAAGGAAAAAAAAAAGATGACATAGTAGAGAATATTATTTTCATTGTTGATTTATGCGATGAAACTGACTTTAGGAGACTTATTTTGTGCCTGATAGTTTATAGTATCCTTCCTGATGATGTTTTTCATTTGCTAGTCCTTTTTTTTTCTTTAGCAGAACTCTGCAGACACATAAGAACTTAGAGCCAGGCGTGTGCTGTACACCTCTAATTCTATTCTAGCACTTGGAAGGTTGAGGCAGGAGGGTCGCCTAGAGTTCCAGGCCAGCCTGGGAAACATAATGAGTTTAAGGCCACCCTGGAATATGTAATAAGACCCTCCCTCAAAAGCCTAAAAAAAATACAAAACTGAGAGCTTACAGTCTACCACTTTATAAGAGCCATTTATTTATTTATTTGAGACAGGTCCAAGGTGTGTAGTCTAGGCGGGCTTTGAACTCACTGTGTAACCCAAGCCTGGCCTTGAACTCATGGTGATCTTCCTGCCTCAGCCTCCTGAGTGCTGGAATACACATGTGCACCACTGGCTGCCAATTACGTTTTCCGTCCTACCACTTTTCTACTCAGTTATGTGGCATCTTGAAATCCTCCTAGAGTTGTCGTTGGTTAGCAGTCTGTTATCCAAAGGAACAGTTGTCATTGGTTCATAGAGCTATTTCTGTGTTCTCTTTCTTCCTCGTGACTCACACAAATGTAAAATAAAACTGATCTCTGCTTACTTATATTTCCTCATCCATACAAGGGTACATTTAACTAAGTCATTTCCATATCCATCCTCAATTACCATGGAAACTCAATTTTTAAAAAATAACTTTTGCTATAGGAAACTGGAAATTTAAATAGTGCTTGCTAATTTCCCTCCTTCTGCTTATCTCTATGATTATCTTCCCAAAGGTCTCTAATTATTGATGTTGCTATTATAGTTAGAATTCATATTTATTGCAATTTGGAGTTAATTTTGGTTTAAGTTTGTTTAGTTTTGAGTACTGGGGATTGAACCCAGGACTTTTGTATTACACTAAGCTCCATCCCTAGGCCCCCCCACTTTAAAAAATTTTGAGAAAGGGTCTCTCTAAATTGCCCAGGCTGGGCTTGAACTTGCCATCCTCCTGCCTTGCCCTCTCAGGGTGCTGGGATTGTAGGCAGACTCCACCCTGCTCAGTTTAGTTCGAGTTTTATTTGTCCCTTACTTGGAGAGTTGAGTCTCCATATAATATCAAAGAGGATGATGATAAAAATGGCTTTGCTTCTTCTGCAATCTGTACTTGTCACCCAGTGACACAGAACCCTAGCAACATCCCCAAACTGCTGAAGTAAATCTGATTTTTACGTTAATTTTGGTGCTTGCACAGAACAAACTTCAAATGAATGTCTGATCTTGCTGGTTATTTTGAAAACTGAGTGTGAGGATGCTTAAGTTGGAATATCATAAAAGGAATACCAAGGAACTTGGTATTCCAGAGTAGATAGAATATCAGAATTGTTGGTTCTGGCTGTTTCCCCTGCCTACTGGTTCCACCTTCTTAAAGCTGGTAGCGAAATAAATAACTGTGTTGTCTGGAGCCACCTGAGTCACCTGGAGCCATAGAGAAGAATGCTTTAGTTACCGTCTCAGGAAACTAAACAAAGCATTATCTCTCCAGGATAATTTTGTGGGATCCTGGAAAGTTGGTTTTACAGAACTTTTTAAAATACTCTCTATATATCAATTTTCCCCACAAGGATCTAGTCTGTTTTAGAGTAATTAATCTACTGAAAGTCATTTTGAGGAAAAGTACAATGGAAATACTAAAAAAATTTTTGTACTGATGTTGAATTGATCTACTCACAGACAATACCAAACTTTTTTACTTTAGAGATTAATTTTTCTGCTTTTTGAGTTTACTCAATTTCTGCTAACATATTAGTTCTCAGTATGTCTTTGAAGCTTTGGTGACATGGGATATTTGAAAATAAGCTCTAGATCTAGAAAAGTTATACTTGTGGGCCAGTAGTAGAATGCTTGTCTAACGTGCAAAAAAGTCCTGGGTTCGATCCCCAGCACTGCAAAAAAAGAAAAGAAAAGAAAGAAGAAAGAAAAAATGTATGTTGGTCACAGTTGCTTTTTGTTTGTTTGTTTTTGTTTTGTTTGTGTGTTTATTTTGAGATAGGACCTCACCGTGTAGTGGAGACTGACCTGGAACTCACTATGTAGCCCAGGCTGGTCTTGAACTCACAGCGATCCTCCTGCCTCAGGCCTCTTGAGTACTGGGATTACAGGCATGTGCCACCACGACCAGCTTGTTGGTCACAGTTTTAAAAGCTTTCCCTCTCTTGTTTCAGATCCTTCCTTAGTAACTAAGTATATGTTCTCTTGTTTTTCCTAGGATGGCCCAGATTCTGTTGGAGGAAACCGGACAAAGCAGGAGAGTGCGTGGATATTCAGGCTATGGTACAGCTTTGACCACAAGTATCCTTTTAAGTGGCATCTTTGTGAGACATTGATGAAATCTACTAGCTGAGTTGTCAGTGAGTGACTTCTGATGAGCAAGGAAAGATGTGTGCTTGAACAGGTATAATCAGTTCTCTCTTGGCACATATGCATCCATCCTTCAATCACAAGTAGTCCTGGTGGGCATCTCTCTGGTCAGCAGGAGTGTTTGCATATAATTAGGGTGGCTGGATCATTGCCTGGTGGATATAATGGCTGTGAGAGCTTTGTGTCTAGAGAAGTATGCCTTTGTGGGTGAATTCATTAAAATTCCACAATGACGGTGAAGATGGGAAGTAGAGCTTGGAGAGTTAACCTGTGTGGGAACGATAATTCCTGTTGAACTTGACCAGGTCTAATATTATATTAGAATAAATGGGCCACATGTGGGGCAGATCATGTTCTAATAGATTTTTGGACTCAGGTAAAAGTTAAAAACCAAAAAAGTTAAACCTTTGTGGTCTTTAAAATTGGCATAGTGGTCTAATGGACAAGTGGCTTATTCCAGATGGGTTTTAGAGACATTGAAAAAATTTTAAAATATTTATTGAAGTACAGTATATAGCCAAAATGCCCAGGGAGTGATTACATTTTAAAAAAATTATTACAGTAGATCCTTGGTACCCCCCCAAATTATTACAGTAAGACATTGCCATCAGCCCCCTTCAAAATACTCGGCTTTGCTTTTCAACACACCCATCCCATCATTCTTGCCACTTTCTGAAGCAGCTCTGGAAGTGTTCTTTTGTGAGTGTCTTACAAGGTGTGATAAAAAGTTTGGTGAATCCTGCAGGCTTATTAAAAAAAGCATTATGGCGTGGCCTCATCCACCTTATTCTATTCACTAGATCGGGCACCATGCAACTTCTCTTCTCCAAAGTGAAAATGACCATGAAATGTAAATTTTCAAAGTCAGTGCAGGACACGGAGGCAGTCCTAATAGCTCAATTAAAGATACTCACAAAAGAGGACTTCCAGAACTACTTCAGCTAAGCTGATAAAGAACAACTATAAGTGTTTTTTTTTTTTTTTTTTTTTTTTTGTTTTTTT